GGATGAGGTGTGTAGTACCAAGGGATTAAAACACGATAAAGACGAGCCGAATGAGTGGAGGAGAGTGAAAGGAGGCACGCACACACGCTGAGAGCAGTAGATCAACTAGAGGTGGGGTCAAAGGGATCAGCTATGACTCAGGCAATGGTGGAGGCGGATGGAGACTAGTGGAAGACGGCACAACTTGAGATGTCGGCTGAATGAGGGATTTCAACTTATCCTGCAAACCAGGATATGACTCGGACAATTGCTCCAGGTAGAGCCTTAGTTGGTTTGCCTCCTTTTGGGCCGTCTCTAGCTGGGTACGCAACTGCTCCACGTACGTGTTTAGCATTGCTACTTCACTCTCCAAAGTTACAATCCTATTTACCTTCCTCTCACGACACCGACGTGCTGCCAGACGGTTACGCGCCCTCTTCTTCTCTATCTTCAGCATCGAAGGGTCAGCTAAGCAAATAAAAGTTGTTTTTTTAAGCAAGAAACATCCTGAAATTGCAGAACGCATAGTAGATGGCTTACAGCACAAGTCCTCCTCTATGGATGTAAGGGAAGTGTCAGGTCGGCTGATTGACTGCGACTCATACGTGATAGGCATCGATTGCGAGTTTATCTGACCCCCTCCGGCGGGCACAGCTACTCTACGTCCACTTCCTGCATTACTCGTTGTACTGATTGCTGGCTGAATGGGTTGGTGGGTTACAGACCTCTCCTCCATCTTCAATCCAACCATGCTCGCCACATCGGTGGGAGCATAGGAGAGCTGCCCCATGCTATTGGAAGTGGCATTAATGAGCGCCTGAGCGGCAGCAATGGTGGGCTCATGACGCCGACGACTGCGTTTCACAGTGGAAGGAGGTGGAGTCATTGAGGCTGTGTTGGAGAGAGACCGCTTCTGTGAAAGCATCATGCTCTCTTGTTGTTGCTGCTGCTGGTCTTCGTTGGTGTAGGAAGTTGGTATGTTCGAGGGAATGTAGTCGTGGAGCTGTCGCGGATGTGCAAGACTGTGACTGTCGTAGGGAACGAGGTTTGTCAGGTGACGCTGGCTCAAAGCACCGCTCCCGCGGGAACTATTTGGATCCATCAGTGGATTCTGATGTAAAACAAAGATTGCATTTTCGACACTTTACAAATAACAACCTAAATAGCAAGGCAAGAGTCCTACATAATCCAGTCTCTTCGAAATCAGAGGAAAATTTATTGTCGCTGTGGTCGTTTCACTAATCCATAATGATAGTAAGTGTTGACTATTGTTTGACCAAGCTAACGACTCCTCAAAAATTGGGGAATACCAGCACTGATTGAGAACACGCTACATCTGGCTTATCAGTGCCTTAAACTCAACCAATCCAATGACACGATCTACTGATCGGATTGAACACATAACACAACACACACACACACACACACAACGCCTCCTCCTCCAGCGTTAATAAAGCATTGTTCAAGTCTTCTTAATGCAAGTGAATCCACCTAAACATTCAACTTTGTCCTATCATAGTGACCGGATAAACTACCCTCCTTGCACAGCCTCAAATCAGATATCAATAGAAATAGACAAACATCGGAAGGGATCTCATAATACGACCCATTCTACAAATATCCCATTCAACTTCAGAAGTATCCCCCAACTTTCAAACACCTTTCTTTGAGCATACGTACACAAAAAAATCCTAACACCGTTCTATTGGAAATATTTTTCTAAAGGAAAGTCTAATAGACCTCTAGATGTCTGCAGTTCTTGCATCACCTTCGACTCGGAGCGCTACGATGTCAACTGAGAGTGCGTGCCCGCGTATCAAGGATAGGAATAAGCCGTTCTTTGTCTACTTCGGGCGCGTGGGGAAGGTATACGCGGTGCGTGCGCGCACACACGCACGCATTAGGGCCTAAATTTAGCAACGGCACGCACGGGCACAATTGTGTTTACGCGCGCACACCACATTAACCAATCACCAGTGGATGTGTGTACATTTTGCCTGCCCCAATGATTCATGCATCAACAACAATGTGCGCTAGCCAGCCAGCTAGCGAGCTGGTTAACTGGCTTTCGCGTCTGGGTAAGTGGGTGGGAGGGAAGAGAGAAGCGCGCAAGTGTGCGTGAGTGGGGAGTCGTCAGTGTGAGTCATACGTACACACACACACACACGTACGATGATGATTCACTCTGTTGTGGACGTAGGCCCTCCACCTCTTCCTCTTCCTGGGAGAGATAAGCGGAAGAGTGCAAGACAGACGTAAAGCATAACCCAAGTGGTGCGAAAAGGCGCTGAGGTTATGACCCACTGTCAATGAACTTTGACCTTGGGACTTTAGCTACTCACTACGTCTCCTTTTGCGATCTGAATGAGGTGATAATTTTTGCAATCTGAGCCTTAGAAATTACCCTTCCTTCGTGAGCCAAAATTCTTTTTCAAAGCAACAAACTAACCTGATCAGTAGAATGATGAAAGAGATGTAAAAATCCATCCGTGGTGGGATTAACAATCACTTGTCCGGTGACAGAGGAAGTGATATCACCTCCGACAGAAGTGGTTGTGACTGGATCTTCCGCCGAACCGACCAACATGTCAGTAAGACCAACCGAAGCATATGTATTTCCCCCACCGCTACCACCGTCCGCCACATCGGTCCTCAGTGGAGGAAGTGAGAGACTAGGATACCTATTACTGATGGCAGCGGCGGTGGTGGTGACACTGGGATACCGGTTTGTCCCTGTGGGGTTCTCCAATGAGGGCGAAGATGGCGAAGTAGAGTCGCCGGCGGTGGAGGGGGGTGAACCGGTGGTGCCACCATCCTGAGTGCGCAGATTGTGCAAAGCGGCAGCGACGGCAGCGGAAGGATTACAAATGCCCGAAGCAGGCGCCATGGAGAAGGCGGTGTGAATTGAAGTAACGTCAGAAAGCAACATTGGACTAGAAGGTACCGTCGCCGCGGAAGTCGCAACACTATCGGTTTCATTCTCGCTAACGAAGAAAGGGGAGGCTCAGTTAAAATGTGCAAATGGCAATTCTAAGCTTTCCAACCAATACGTCCATCGCCGACAGAAATAATGAGCTATGAATCGTACTGAAAACGGGTTGGTGAATCGAACAACCTAAAAAACGACAAAGGTCAACGTTGCTGCTTCAGTGCAGATTGAGAGTAAGACAAAAAAGTAGCTGATAAAACCTATACATTAGTATTCCAAACTCATAAAACCCACAAATTATAAAGAAAAAAGTGAATGAATCAAAACAGAGAAAATCTATGGGAAATTTAATCTAGGTAAAAGGATAGACCCGAGACAAAAAAAATCACGGTGCAAATTACCGAAGGATAGTCTACTCTCCTGCAATGAAAACAAGAGAGAAAAGCGGTACCATCACAAAAAGATCAATTCACCAATTTCCAAAACGGGATGTCCCATCTATAACTTCCCATGACTAGAGTATGCACACTGTCCGAGGGTACCTTAAGGGGCAAGACGATGGGGAAGGAGACGGAGAATGGTCTACCAAATGCACACATAAGCACTAGGGCAACGACACAAAAATACTTGCAGTGCACTTGTTGAAGAAAGTTGGTTACCACAAAGGCATCCGAATATGCGGCAGGGGATGATCAAACCGACTAGTGGAAAGCAAAACTCAGGTCATAAAATCTTAGAGTAAGGCGGAGTGAATAGATGACAAAGCTAGAACGTTATCACTAGCCAAGGAATAACAGTGACGTCTCCACGATGAAATAAAAACCAGCAGAATAGTGTAGAGCGACGATAACAATGAGATCTGAGAAAGCACATCGCACCAATGACTTGAGACTATTACCACACAGAGTCCAATTTTAGCCTCAGATTCGCAAGGTAATCACTCGAACGACATAGACGCGAGGAAGTTTCATTCGTCAAGAGGAAAGAAAGTGAGGTGATTCATCATAATTTTAAAAATTCTAGGAATAGCAATAAGCAACAGAAGATCTCAGCATTTTAAAACCAAAACTTAAAATTCCGGATCGGAAATTGGTAAGGCGAAAGCTAAATAGAGCACAAGCCATAAAATCGTAAGATTGGAAAGCGTGACAGCCTTAAAAAACACGCAGCCGTTGAAGCCGAGAGCTGATTATAATCCTTACTAGAAGCCTGCAGAGGCAGAAAAAAGACGTTACATACATACCCGAGTTTAACATGAATATTCTGTGTTGATTGTGGCGTAGGAGTGGGCGGATTTGTGGCACGATCCGTAGTGGCATAGCCAGGCGAAGTATTCGAGGAGGGATGATGCTGCAAATGAATTTCCTCGACTAGCGATCCCTCCCTTTCACTTTTTATTTTGTCAATAGTCTTTGTGAGTTGCCTGTTGTGTACAAAAGAGACCAGTAAATCAATCGATCCACAAAAGACCAATCCACAGAACAATAGCCACATATGTATTAGCTTAATAAATCCAGACTATACAGTTACTCAAACGTTCGGTATGAGAGGTTGATAGAAAATTTCGAGGAAAGGACGGGCGCATGTCAGTCAGAGGATACAAAAAACGCCAAACTGATAGCTGCCATTCCAGAAAAGCAGTGAAAATTCAGGAATAACAAAAGCTAAACACAACTAGATGAGTTGAAAATTAGAAACATCAATAGTAGGGCCAGGCACTATAGCACAATAACTAAGCCATGATACATCACGGAGAAACAGAGTAATTCATATTAAACACACTCAGCGAACTGCTCCTGCTCTGCGGTTATTTCCTTTGGATTTAAAAAGCTGGTTGGAGTCATAGGAGTAGAGCCGTTGTTTTCAAGTTGTCCGATGACTTTGTCACGATCCATGCTATCAGGTCTTTTTACTGAATGGTAACCTCGAGGCAATTGGTGAGATTTGAGATCGACATAGTTATTTGAGCCGCTATCGAATCGAAGAGATAGGGTGGACGGCCGAGGTGGTGCCTGATCTTGAATGTCCATAC